TTACAGCAGTTACTTGGACCACTAGTTTACCTCTTCATTATTAATGTTCAGGTAACTGTACATTTACTTGAGTAGCTGTTTCCCCAATTTACTCTTACTACAGTTACTTATACCACTACTTCTTGAATGACTATTTTGAGGTAACAGTACCCCATACACTTGAGTACATTTTTGGCTATACCCACTGTTATACTGCTGTGATGTGCTCCCTCGAACTCATCAGCGGTGGTTAATTGCGTTAGTGCTTTCATTAATGATGGCTGATTGTTTTATTGTGTTGGCTCGTCAAAGAGGCCTGGACGGACCACTGGCTGCTGAAGCGTCTGTATCGATAAGCCTTTGTCTATGTGTTTCTATGTGTGTCCGAGAGCTACAGAAGTGAGCTGTGTGCATACAGTGAGCCCAGCCTGCTCCATATTGATAACAAGCCTATCCAAAAATACTGCTGTTTTTTGGAGAATGGGATGTCCGTCAGATCCATACGGAGCTCAGAGGGTGTATCTTCAACTGTGCGGCCATTTTGATAAGGTCTTTGCTGCGGTCCGTGCTGGGCAATAGGGTAATTAACAGGATTAGGCGTGTAGCATGTCTGTTATCCCACTGAACACTGTTAACCTGCTGGGATTACCACAAACACTCATTAGCTCAGCCGTAGTGATAGCTTCAATCTACCGGTGCTATGAGCAGAACTTAGCCCTGATAGTAAGTGATGCTGTCAGTCCAGTAATTACAGATCACTGCATCATTAGCTTCAGTGTGCTAAGGTTAAGCTCATGACTCGGACAGTACAGATGATAGTGTTAGTCATAAATATTCTGTGTGGAGAATTCATGGCTTCCTGTTTATAAGCATCATTTTAAGTACCGCCATTAACCATTGTTTTTAAAGGTGCACTATGTAACTTTTCAGCTGGGGGTCCATCACCTGCTTGTCTCTGTGGAGATGTCACTTCTCTGCCTGAAATGGTCCAGAGTATGACATTTAACAGCTCTGCCTTACATTTATTCAATTGCAGGTGGTTTAATAGCTCAGATATACCTAGACAGAATTACAGGTCAGATTTACCTCTCCACAAATCTGACCTGTAATTTTGTCTGGTTTGGTCTTCGTGATGATAAAGGTTTAATATCGTAACTTAAATCATTCTCGACAAAACAGTAACATCTCCATGGAGACAAGCATTTAATGGGAGCTTCACTGGAAAAGATGCACAGTGCATAAATATTAATCTCTATGGCAAATGAGCTAATGGTTCACTCTGAATCCTGAGCTACTAAATGGTAATCAGTACAAGTATTACTATAGAAATCCTCCAAGTTTGACAGCTGTTGTGTATAAACTGATTAAAGTAACAGACTTAATACATGTTGAATTTGTTCTAGTGGCCAACTGATGCTTGTTTATAGGTGATATCTTTGTTAGCTTACGGGGTCAAACACTAGCACAATTTCACAACGAGGGTCAGTGGAGCTGGTCAGTCAGATAAGACAGTCATGTGACCTGTAAGAGCCAATGGCAGTGCAGCAGACTGGACAGTGATGAAGTGAGAAGATAGGGAAGGTCATGATGGCCAAACTCAGGGCTCACGGGATCATAAGATGAGATTCTGGTCAAAACTATAGACTTAAAAATAAGGCTTCACAGGCCCTCATTTATCAAAGTGGCAATCTAAAATGTCCTTATATATGTAATGCCAAAAATGGTTTATTGTAGCCTACAGATTTTCTATTAAAGGTCCTATATCACTTTTATGAGCTTTAAGCCATGTTGCAGTGTTGTTACATCATCAAAAACATACCTGTAGTTTTGTTTTGTTTCATTCACACGTTTGAGAAACCCTTTATAATTAGTATGTCTCTCTTCCACCTTGTGATGTCATGAAGCTGTAGTTTTCATGTTTACAACTACCTTTTACCTTTTGTTCAGCAGAAATTATCCAAATGATTCTAGTGAAGGTATATGGAGTTTAAAAAACACAGTGGAGCACTTCCTGTATTACTACATGACATCACAAGGTGCAACAGAGTGTTTTCTTTTTGAGAGAAGAAGTCAGCCTCAGGGTTTGTGTGTTAAACGTGATGAGGAAAACAACATTATAACAGATTAGAAAATAGTGAAATATGGGTGAAATATGGATTACTTTTGATCCAGTTGATGCATGTGAGGAACTTTGTCATAGTACCAATTTATCATAATATAATCTTTTACTGTTAAACCGTGGAAATTTAAACATCTTACAATATTGGGTTTACACAAACAATACGTGTGTCCAAGGCTTGTGGCTGCCTCACCAGTGGTTCAAACGTAAAGGTGAAATAGAGACCCACCTTATGCCCGGGTCATTTGATCAAACCCTGATCTCCACTTGAGCTTGAGGCCCCGCTCAGCTCCTGTTGCGTCTGGCGCAGTGTCATGATCTCTGTGGACCGTGGACGGAGACTTTTACAGTAACTCAAACCGGACCAGTCCTGAGAGCCACGACTCCAGTGTCCAATGATACCTGTCATTTTACACTACTCACAATGTCATCATCTGGACATGTTTCTCATTCCTCTCGCACAACATTGAACAACCTTGAAGAATGTTTTGGTTAGGCCTGTCACGATAATTACTATATCAACTTATTGCTCAATACATGACAGATGGAACAATACTTGTGGTCAGTTTTTTTATGATGGGTCCTTTTTCCTTGCACTATTGGGAAATTTTGGTTAAACAAACTATGTAAATGTTATTTGCAGTTTGTGTTTTTAATACTACTGTACATTTTTCATTTTTTAAGGGAATAATTCTTCATGGTTTGGTTTCAGTATTATCCTTTATTATCTATTTACTTCAGCAATATATCACAAAATATATCATTATCAGGCCTAGTTTTGGTAATACTTTGGACATTCAATTTGTAAAAACAAATACATAATAATCTCATAATGTAGATCATTATATTTGGAGCAAAAGTAGAAGAGAAGGAATGCTACTTTTATATTTACTTGTCCCGAGTTGTGATAAATGTAGGTTGAGATAAACGGTAAAAAAAATTTGATTGGATTGGACAGCGCCTTTTACATTGTATTTTTCAGTCACTCCAAACTTGATGGTAAGATAGTAATGTACTCAGAGATCCCAGGGGTGGACTGAAGTTACCTCAAACACACAGACACACACCACATTCATACTAGCCAAGATGGTTGAAGTCTTGCCTAACGACACAACAGCAGTTTTCACTAGAGCCACTGCTGCCCCACTGTGGTATCTGGTAGTCCCCCATCCAAGTACTAACCAGGCCTGACCTTGCTTAGCCTCTGAGATCAGATGAGATTGGACATTGACAAGCATGTTTGGTCACATATGGTTGTTAGGGCATCTGGTATAAAGCCTATCTGGTATAAAGACTATCCCCCTGACAGAAAAGAAGTCAAAAGCTTACTGAAGTCTGTCTTTTTTAGCTTTTTTATTATTTCGCTTCAAGAAAAGTGATGCCCTAAGAGAAGTCAGCTTTGGATCCATAGCACTTTTTCAGTATTCGGTGACATTTCCCTCTTGTCACTGAGAGAAAATCTTGTTAGCTAAGGTGACTAAACCACAAAGACTTCTCACAGCAAACAGCAAAGAAACTTTCTAGCCTTACTATCAAAGCTACGTTTTATAAATCATCGTGGACTTGTCTGCACTGCGCGTCCTTTTCAAACTGCCCCCCACCCCATCCTGTTCATAACCCCAGCAGCAGCAGCGGTTGTGGGAAAGCCATTTTATCAGCGTCTGTCCGTTGTTCTCTGGTGGGGATAGATACAGAGAAGATAGATGAGTGTTTTGACATGGAGAGTGTTAGACAAACACTCTTATCAGGCCCGCCACTTTAGACCGACCCCCTGGAACAGCCGCCTCAGCCACGGACAGCAGGGGAGCGAGAGGAGGGAGGGGATGGAAGGGAGGGAGGAGCTGGGGTCTGTGCCCTGGTTTGATCAGACCTGTCATATGGAGGCATCAAGGAGAACCAGGACAATCTGCGAAAGCAACTCAGTAGTTTGTGGAACTGAACTTGTATGTGAAATTCAGGGGTTTAGGTTTTGATTTCGGCAGTACAAATACTTTAATGTAATGTGTTTCTGTTTATAAAGTATACATTTACGATTTTTCATATTTTGGCTCTAAAGGTCAAACTTCAGATTGAATTTTGATTACTGATTGTAAATTTCAAAACCACAGTGATACAACACGATATAATGTTTCTTTAATATTGCCATGTGGTTGCATACGAGTATTCATAAAGATCACTACAGTTCGCAAACTATTCAGAAAAGGTCAAATTTTGTTATGTCTATATGATTTTATAATTTTTTTTCAGGATCAATACTGACTTTAATTTCAATACTATCTTTTGTATTGATTAAGATCTGGAAATCAATACATGAAATCAAAGAATAAATTCCAAATACATTATGTTTTGGTGAAATACACCTCTAATAATACGAGTCATTTGATTTATAATCCTATACATGGTCTCTATTCAAACAAATCTATTCTCAGCATTGGAACTACTACAGTATGTTACAATGCACCACAGATTGAAGCACTCTACTAAAGGGTGTCTCTTTGGTCCCTTCTGGTCAGATGTGTTTGGACTTGTGTAGTTTTGTATAGATGGTCCCAGCTCTATCTGTCCTGCCACAGAGTCACACCACAGCCGTCACTGCCATCCGTCTGCACTTATCAATGAGAGGAAGTGGGAAAGTACACAAGCACAACTTTCCTGGGTAAAACTAAAGGCAGGATGGGAGAGCTCTGTGTGAGGTGCGCCCCCTGCTGTTTGTTCTGGGGGCCAGGTCAAATTCAGGCCATACAGAAAACCAAAATCAGCATTATTTATGATTTTGTGAGCTCAAAGCTTTCACTTATGCTTGTAGTTGAGAAAAAATGTTATGTCAAAATTTCTACAGTTTTGCATTAACACTGAATCAGTACATGCTAAGTGTAAGACTTTTTTGTACCTTGTTCTATAGATGAGCTGCAGATGACTGAAGAAGGCGGGGTTTGTACCATTCTGGCTCGCACTGACCTCCATCAGGACACAGTGTGGGGACCCTATCCTGGAACGGTCCAATCAGAGAGCAGCACAGAAAACCAGGAAGCACAGGTAAGAAAAACACTAGTACCCTCCTCTACCCCTCTGTGTATTCCGTATGTGTATGTTAATATATGCTGTGATATTGGTTTAGTGCTTACTGCTTATAGTTACAGCTCAGTGTGTTCCTCTAAGGCCAGCCAACATAGACCTACTTTTACTACTTTTTACTCTGCATATTTTTGTGGAATTGTAATCGCAAAGGTCAGATGTTGGTAGTTGAAATAACTGCTGGTATAGTGGTGTGTGAGGATGGGAGCGCTCCTTGAGAACAGTGTGTGGGAGCGGATAGTGCACTGTCATGTGTGCGTCCATCTAATCACATGATAGTGAGACTGGGAGAGGCTTCCTGGCACAAGCCTATGTGATTGTTTGGTAACTAATATTTTATTATCTCTTACAGTCTGTCCACTTTGCGAAATAATGTCTTTTCAGTCTACATTTGAATTACAGTACCATAAAAAAAATATATCTCTATTTTCTTGGTCAGATTATGATTTGATTTTGTCCAAATTCATGTAGAATCAGTAGTATGCTTATGCCTTAAGAGCTAACTCAAGCCATCTGCTCTTTAGTGTTCATTATTCACTGTGATTGGTTAAACCCACCTATCACTCACTCAGAGCATGACAGAGGCTGACCAATAGGTGATAAGGGAGTGAAAAAGAGCTCAGAGGTAGAAATTACCGAATGACATTACAACGGTGACGATGATCAAAATAACAGTTAAAAAGAATTAGGTCACGATGCAGTTTCTATTGCCATATCACTAAGCTCTACCATCATCCAGAGAAATCATTTGTCTTTTTTAAAAAGGTAGTATTATGCAAAATAGATTTTTCTACCATGTTATAACGTTGTTCCCTCGTCAAAAACATGACTGAAAAGGTTTTGGATGTCATCCATGCATGTTTGAGTATTTTAGCGATCTCTCTCGGGCCCTTTTCAAACCTCTCCTTATGGTTAGCTGTAAATTTTATCAACCATGCTCCCGCATGATAATTCTCCAGAAATATACAAAAACATGACTCAAAACTGTACACAGCAACAAATCTGATGCAATGTGCAGTAGTTTCATTAGTAGTGGAATGCATGCTGATTGTGTTGTGATAGTGCTTTGAAGGGGGAGTGACTTAACATGTGGAGCAAAGAGAGGAGAGGCTCAAAGCATTAGAAACAAAAGTGAAAAGTATAAAAATGTTTATATGTTGTTTTCAGCAAAGATAGCATCAACAAAACAATAAAAGGTAACATGGTGATCTAAATTTGTGTTAATACCCCATAGAAGTAAAATACCCCTTCTTTAACCACAAATCAGTGTACTATGGGTGAAGACTTTTTCATTTTAGTTTTATTTGATTGAAATTCTTAAAGGGCCCATATTACACTATTTTATTCACTAATAAAGGATGACTCAATGTATGAATGAAACAAACACAATTCCAGGTATGTTTTTGATGAGGTAACAACATTATAACATGGCTAAAAGCTCACATAATATAAGCCTTTAATATCTTTTTTGTTTTTGTTCTCCCATACCATTGGTACACAATAGGTCATAATTGGTATATAGCTTTGCTGAGCTAGCCCTGTTGACCCGGTCCACATCTGAACCTTGTGTATCCAGTTTCTCCCTGTCTCCCCTCCTCTCCCCCTTCTCCCTCTCTCCTCTCCCCCATCTCTCTCCTCCACCCTCTCTCTCTCATCTCTCCCCTCTCTCTCACCACCCCTCCTCTCTCCTCTCTCACCCCTCGACCTCTCTCTCTCTCCTCTCCCCCTTTCTCCTCTCCTTCTCTCCCCTCCCTCTCTCTCCTCTCCCCTGGCCCTCCCCAGACGTCCGCCTGTCTTTTATCTCCACATGGCGCCATCCTCCAGCACAGCAAACCCCAGTGATTGATTCCTGCTTGATAGGCTCTCATTTCGAAGATTCGCTTTATTATCAGTCAGGTTGGGGTGGACTGTGTAGATGTGTGTGTGCAGTGTGTACGATCACCTTTTGTCCCTTTGAGCTGCCCTTTTTGTCCCACTACTTTCTCTGTCCTTATATCCTTATGGAAAGCATCTCATCATGACCCATATAAAACCTATTTCTTCTTCCTTCATCCCGGACCCTCCCTGCTCCGTGATATCGGTTGATGGGGAGTGTGGAGACGGACCTTCACTATCTGGGACTGATAGAGCCTAATCACATTCCTCCTGTGTTTCTCTCCCTGTCACTACGAAAGAAAGACCCCCCCCCCTCCCCTCCTCCTCACCACCCCCTCTGTCTGCTGGACCCTCCCTCACTCCGGTCAGCACAGGTCAGGGTTGTCCACTGTATTCTGTCCTTGTATGTTCTAATGGAGTTTTCAGAGGCAACTAAGGGCTATAATTCAACATAAGTTAGAATGAAAGCAATGCTGTCATATTTACAATTATAAATGTTTGTTTATTTTTGGAAGCATTATATTTTACAGCCCAATAGTTTAAGTCTATGTGTGTTCTCATATAATTGTGTGCCATGGTAGTATGGGAGTGTTTTGGTCTTTTCACTTATCATTAGAGGTTCTATATTATGCCAAATAGACTCTTGTAAGCTCATCAAAAAATACCCAGAGTTGTGTTTTGTTTCATTCACACGTTTGAGTAACCCTTTATTATTAGTCTATCTACATCTCCAAACCCAAAAATGATGTCATGAAGCTGTAGTTTTCATGTTAACAGCTTCCTTTTACCTTTCGTTCATTAAATATTGGCAATTCCAGGGCTGAAATTATCCAAATGATTCTCGTGTAGGTATATGGAGTTTAAAAAACACAGTGGAGCACTTCCTGTATTACCACATGACATCACAAGGTGGAACAGTGTTTTCTGTTAGAAAGATTAACTCAGCCTAACTGTGTAGGCTCTGCATGTTAAATATATGTGAAGTAAACAAAACACAACTCCAGGTATGTTTGTGATGAGGAAACATTATAATATAGATCAGAAAATAGCCTAATATGGGTCTTTTAAATGTGTGAATTCATGCTTTTTGCATTTTACACAGATAACTTGACTTAAATAGGTCTGATAAGGTTTATTGACAAAAAACATGGTATGAGCAAACACATTTTTGCATACGCTTTTGCCTTTGTGTAAACTACTTTGTTAGACCAGACATTAGTTTCCCCAGTTTGTTCTCCTATTTTATTTCCACCTTCTTTTCCCTTTCCCTTCCATTTTAAATCCAGTTTGTGCTTCCTCTATCTGCCTCTCCGTCAGTGGTGATCCGTGCTGGGCTGTGCTGGCCTGAGGCGATGCCCCTGCCTCTGTGGGTGAGATTGGCATGGCCCTCTTAGTGCTCTGCCCCCTCCAGCATCGCCCGGCCTCTCTCAACTTCTCTCTCTGCAAATTTACTTCTTATTTGGCGTGCCCAGATAAGCTATCAGTTAAATACGAGGCCTACCCAGCAACAGGGGCAGGTGGAAATGGAGTCTGCATGTGCATAGGCTCACATGCTTGAGCTAATGCTACAGACTGGAGAAAGGTGCAGTGGGTTTATGGTATAAAGAGAAAAGTTAGTGTGTTTACATGGACTAGGTGTTTTTGTCATTTTTCATCATAAGCAAATGTTTTTTTTTATGTTTGTATTGGATCTAATTTCAACACAAAACATGGAAACCTTAACATTGTGGAGAAGACCAGATTGAAAGAGAGGCCTACGCACTGATATGCAGCAAAACAAATGTCCATGGAAGTGTGGTGTGTTTTTACAATATATGACTCCAACATTAAATGGTAAAGTGTAAATTTGAGATGATTGGGTCATTGCTCCATATAGGATACTGCATAAAGTATTACCATGGGTCTTTATGGACAGTCCTTTGAAACTGAGGTGTGTCAAGAACAGATGAGCTCCATCCTGCTCTCCCACTGAGTTCCCCTTGGTGTGATTAGACCCGTGCTAACCAGCCTGTGTAATATGGAAATCCTCCCATTTGCATCTGTTGAGAAAGCAGCTCCAAACCATTTATCTATTTAAATATATTCTGTGTGATATGGATGTTGGACTTTACAACAGGCTATAATCATGTTTACTGATGCGCCGATGAGTAGCGCTGGATTCCTCAGGCTTTGTGCTTGAGTGAGCAGCAGGTCTACCTCTGCTAACCTCCCATGGCAACGTCAGCCCCAGTATGATTGGATCACAGTCAACACATCTGATATTATATCTGCCTGTGTCTGATTGGTACAACTTTAATTAACTGATAGTTAAAGGGCATGTGATGGGGCCAAAGTTTACAGAGGGGCTGTCAAATTTTAGCTTTGATAAATAAAAATGCAATAGACTGATAACCTTTCCTCAACCATCACATATTTCTATAAACAAAATATTCACAGCTTTAATTACTAGTTTGAAGTTTAATCCTACAGTTATAGACCCATTAACATTAATTATATACTGTTGAGTCTTGTTTCAGTGGTGTACTGTACAGGTCAGTACCAACAATGCAATTCAACTGAGAAAATGTGTGCGCTTTCACTTCAAAACTTAAATGACGATAAAAGACCAAAAAGACTTGGGTCAAATTAGGGATACACAAGATTAAGAACATCAAACCCTATTCTTTATATATTCATGAAAAGCTGTAACAGTAGTGAAGTGTATCTCAGAAACTGGGATGGTGTGTTGAGATGGCGGAGCTGTCTTGTGATTGGATCATACAGAATACATCAGATATTGTATCGGCTGTGCTCTGATAGGATCCTCTTTAATTAACTGATAGTCGAAGGCCATGTGATTGGACAAAGCTGTGGGACTAGTGTCAGATCTTTGAAGAGCATGTGAGATGTTCAGCCTGTTGATTGTCCACATGGGACTGTAGTGGTCCCCCCTCTGCAGCAGCATCCCAGCGCTCCGCACTGTTTCGTGGAACAGTCGCCTGGAGGCACGATCCTAGAAGGAGCAGTAGGGGAGTTCAAAGCGTTATCACGCACTGAACGTCTTTTCATCATGTTTTAGAAACAAGCGTTCGCACTAATCCCCCAATAATCTCTCCAGGAGAACTGGGCCGATAAGGCGCGCCACCCACGGCTTTTCAAACACTTTTTGGGTAGTGTCTCTTCTCTCTATCTCCCCTGTACCTCCTCACTCACTCCAGTCTCCTGGAAGGACGACTCAAGGTGATCACTGGCTCTGGCTCATCAGCTGTTTGTTTACATCCTGATCATCATCTCCAAATGTTATCTGGTCTCATCAACTGTGTTTTTCTGTCTCCTCCGCCCATCAAATTAGAATGTTAATTAAAACGCTGCTCCTTCAGAAGATGACAAATTGATGATTACACTGAGAGTGGTGACACCTTCAGTGATGCCCCCGAGAAGAGGAACAAACAAGACACAAACACGCACGTACAACATACCTGAACATTTCGGATCTTTTACCTCTGTTGCTGTAAAATATTCCTTTGCTTCAACTCAACACTGAAAAAACAATGGTTTTCAGGGGCACTGCTATTCTGTGCATTTGTAAATTTGTATATTACTTTTGGTTTTCTCGCTCAGCTTTATTTTGGACATGTATACGTGCTGCAGTTGTACTGAGGCTTGCTTGATGGACAAGTTCTCTCAGCCATAACCCTCTTGGACTCAGGACGGTCTAAAGCTGATCCAATCTACAGCTCAACATAGGCCAAGTCTCTAGCGCCACCTGTATCTAAACTTGTCTAGATTATGACAAGTGCAGTGCATCTGTCAGCTGTCAGTTCTGTCCAGCCTAGAGAGAGAAAGAGAAGGGAACCAGCCGCCATAGATTAATACTGATAGACAGAAATCCATCTGAGAGAGACGAGGAACAATGGAAGTGGTGGGGGAGAGGGAAGTCGGGGGTGTTGATCAGTCTGGTATCTCCGTTTCAGTGTCGTCAGTGAGGCTTCAGCAGTATGCAGGCAGGAGCTGTGGAGAGTACGGCCCTATCTCAGACTCTGATCGGCAGCAGTTCAGGAGGCGCTTTCCAAGAGTGCCTCATATTCACGTCTTATCACGGCCCCGGTTTAAGTATCACCCCACTTTATACTTTTACATGAGATTTGCATGCAGAGCATCCACCTGCCTCTGTGGATTATAGGGACACAGGCTGATGAGGGGACGTGGATATACTGGTCATTAATTTGTCTCAAATCGTTCAGTTGAAACATGTTTGTGTGTTTTTACAATTATATTCTGACTGAATTACAGTTGTATTTTTATTGCCATTAAAATCAAGATTTCATTGAAAGTCATTTAGGTCTTTTTTATGTATTTATTTATTTATATTTTTATGGCACTGTAAATCTTAAAAGTCCATAGTTAGTCTTTTTTTATAACAAGCCTGAACTCTGCTCTAAACCATCTCAATTTCCACTTGATTACCTGTGGTATACATAGACTAAAGAAGATTTTGTGTTTTGGCGTTTTTTGTCAAAGAGTAGCCAAGAATGTGTTTTTGATTGGAAGAAGATGCTACTTATCACAAAGTTGTGGAATGGAGAGGAGGGAGAGACATTTGTGTTAAAAATTATGCTACATAAGTTGAGCAATAAGCCAAAAACTTAAATCATGATCACCATTTCAATTTTATCACGATTCATGTAGACATGTACGAGTTCATTTTATGTCCTGCTCTTGAGAGTTCACTCTCCACTATGACTGCTTAAATCTTCATGTCACTCACTCAGAGCCTCACCAATAGGAGACTGGAGTTGCATTAAATAAAGAATTACTGAGCTTCAATCTGTCGATATCACCAACATTTCATATTATCAACAGGGTGACATTAGGCCCTGTGCCAAATGTATATGATCACATTAAGAGTGAAATAGTTTTCTCAAAGTGAACCGCCAAAAGTAAAAGGTGATGTTATTTTGTTCTGTAACTTGAATTCATGTGTTAACTGAAATATTTCCTTGCATACACACCTGTGGTGAGCCAAGTCTTCCGGCCTCTGTCCCCCCTGCCCTCCCTGTCCGGTTTGGTGTAGGGGCAGGGGTGTGGGTGCTGAGGTGTGGGTGCGGCCTGGGTCTTCCCCTGGTTGTGCGGATGATAGTGCTGATGATAGCTGTACCTCGTGAGCCTGATGCCCTCAGTAGTAGCCTGCTGCGTGCCTCTGTGGGAGATGTGTGTGCAGCGTGAGTCCAGCGGATGAGAACAGGCTCTGATCTTATCTTCCTTCCTTTTCTTCTTTGTATTTTTGGAGGATTCGCACAGTGACCTCTTTGTTTGGGACAGTGCACCCCCTGCGTCGGGAAAGAACCCATTTCCTGTAGCCAGAGACGGAGTGGCAGACAGAGAAAAGACATTTGAAAGGCCAAGAGAGGAGGGGAGATGGTGGGCACTGGAAACCCAAAGACTTTACAAAATATATTAAGATATCAATGTGGTATACTGTGAACTAATCATCGCCCTGTATAAGAAATAAACAAATGTAAAAATGTATTGGAATTTGAGTCACAGAAAGGAAGTAGTTTCTGGCAGACTGTGAAAGAGAAGAGGTGGAGACTGAGTGGATGGGCTGAGCGACTGCATGAGAGCACAGAGGTAGTTGTAAAGGTCATCAAAGGGACACTGGCTTGAGCATCAAAAACAGTGACTACATGTTATTAACTAGTATTGATAAAATCATATTTTTTCCGGCCTGCTATTTTCTCTAGATGGTTTCAGTTATGTTACCGATTTATATCAGATGCCCTCCCTGATCCAAATTTATCCAAGCATCAAACTGAGGACAACTATGGACATTGAATAAGTCAAATTTCCAGCATTAAATATCCTGTATTAGACAAAATGGATTCTTGAGAGCTTTAAGTCATGTTATAATGGTGTTACCTTACAGAAAACATACATGGAGTTGTGTTTTGTTTCACTCACACATGTTAGAGTAACCTTTTATTATATTGTCTACATCTCTAAATCTCAAATGCTCTTGTGATGTCATGAAGCTGTGAAGTTTTCTCATCAACAGCATACTTTTACCTTTTGTTCAGTAGAGACTGGCAATTCCAGGGCTGAAGTCATCCAAATTTTAGTAAGGTGTTTAGAGTTAAAAAAAAAAAAAAAAAAAGCAGTAGAGTATTTTCTGTTTTACCACACCACCAATAGTTCACCACATTACCATCAAAAGATGGACCATTGTCTTTTCCGTTTGACAGAAGAACTCAGCTGAAACCTGCAGGATTTTATTATTATTATTAAACATGTGTGAAAGAAACAAAACACAACTCCAGGTATGTTTGTGATGAGGAAACAACATGATAACAGAGATTAGAAAATAGCTTAATATAGGAAGTTATTTTTTTACATTTAAAATTACATCATGATCCATTCATCAGTGAAACTGAAGTACACAGCTTGGCGGCACAGTGATGAACTATTGCCTCACAGTGAAAGGTCATGGTTTCAAGCCTTTCTGTTTGTGTTTGCATCCTTTGCCAGTATATCTGGGTAAAACATGTACAGTGGGGCCTGGAGTCTTCGGGAAAAGAGATTCTAGATCTTAGTTGGTCTTTCCTGGTTAAATAAGCTGAAATAAAGCATGTGAGTGTCATGTTCGTATAGGTGAATTATCCTTCATTGCCCCCTGTTGCTGTATCTGTAATAATTTGCATGTTCAGTTATTCTCCAGTGACCACAGTCCGTTAACAGCTGTGGACAACTGTTAATCTTCCATCTGATACTGGGGTGTGGTGCTGAAGAGAAGCAATACATTTTATATGCTTAATAGTTAAAAGGCCTCACACTGGGGTTAGAGCAGGGTCACTCCAGGTAAAATGTTTCCTTTTACCCTCTCCCGCTCATCATCTCTGCGGTTTTACGTGAGGTAGATAGAGAGAGGAGCTAATACTGATCTGCAAGAAAATGAAGAAATGAAATCAGCATCATTTGCATTAAGTTTTATCAGTGGAGGAGGAGGGTGTTTTCAGGCCTGATAAGGAACGGGTGTCATGGGTTGAGCTGGAGGTAGAGGTGGGGGTGCAGCCAGGACTCATCATAAAAAGGGACCATTTACTGTAATAAGAATATACTGTTCTCAAACACAAAGAACCATTGTAAAAGGAATAAGTTATTGTACACACATATCTAATTTGGCTAATATATAATACTAATATTATACTTCAGAGTGTTTTGTTCATCTTTATTTTTACTGCCAAATGCAATCTGGTGGTGCCTGCTGGTTTAAACGGTTTCTTGGCTTGGTTCTGCTGTACTTCTAGGGTGTTGTGGCGTGTTAAAGCAACCCTACACAACTTTTCCACCACCTCGTTGTCTCCATGTGTTTGCTTTACCTATAATATTCCACAGTGTGGCATTAAACATATCTATTCCCATGGAGACAAGCAGGTGGCACAGTCAGGTCAAGCTACAGGTCAGATCTGGGAAAAGGCGATCAGTAAGAGTGCACTTTTTAGTTAAGTTATTTTTGAGCCAGAAAGAGAAAATTAAATAAGTTCTAGTTAATATGTATGTATACTGTGCAAAATTTTCGGAATGCAATGGCGTCCTTAAAAAAAAATCTAAATCTAAAATGGGAAATTAATATGTTTGAACCCACTTGTATTTTTCCTCGGATAATAATCTGTATTTATAACGCAGTTTGAGGCCAGGCATGGCGTTTAGAATCAATAAAAACTGGTATAAAATTGCTTCTCAAATATTTGTATTAAATGAAGCAGGTCTATGTGGAGCGTCCAGTCCAGGGGGTGGTCATTCAGAGTGAGGGAGAGGAGAGAGGGGAAGGGAGAGGGGGGGGCTAATATCAGTCCAAATAATTAGATGTGCTATCGTGAGCGGCAGCAGTGCGGGATCAGGCAGATTAAAGGCGGACTGCTTAATATTCATGAGGTCCGGACCAGGGCTTAGACTGCCTCACTCTCTCCTCACGTTTATGGAGATTAAAGCCGCTCTCAGGCCAGACAGAGGAATGACAGAGAGGATAGACATAAGTATACATGTTGTAGAATCTTACCTAAACATATACTATGGACTACTGCAAAGTAATTTATATGTTTGATAGTCATAGTGCACTTTACATCTCATATTATATTATTATTACCTTGTTATGTCTATTGTCTAGTGATAAATACTATGTCAACTTCAATATATGATAGATGGAACAATACGTTTTGGGGTCAGTATTTATCGTGTGCACATTTTCTTTGTACTAGAGGAGAAATTTTTGTTATTTTTCTGTACTACTATTAGATTTGAACTGTAGAGGGCTGGATAAATAACTTGTATGACTCAGTATATAGATACAAAATCAGTTCTAAAGTGTGGTTTATTTACTGCAGTTTATGTTTTTTTAATTATATTATACATTTAGAATGACTGTCTTATTTTTTTGGATAAATTCTACTGTAGGGTTATTGTGTCAGTAGCACAAAATAATTTCAATATTATCATTTATCGTCTAAATTTTGTTATCCTGACAGGTCTATTTACATTATAATATAGTGTAAAATTTGATTAAAACTACTAAGATAGGTTTGTGCCTAGTTTGAACACATCTAGAACCATTAACATTTGAAAGAAGATCGAAATATTTACTTAAACTAATAGTCTTATGCATTTAAGAAAAACTGTAGAAGTCAAAACTACAGGGATTGCAAGATTCTACCATATATTACATTATTGCAGAGGACACTGTATTATCTAAATAGTTGCAGCATTTGTGATTTAATAATTGCTGTAATTAAAACATTTGTTTGCAGTTAATTGTGCAGCTCTATCCAAACCCAACTAAACAAAGCCATCTTGTGCAATAGCCATCACAGAGGCCTACCAGGGAGAGGGAGGTCTAGCTGAGAGCAGATCATCTTCTGAAATGCCTTCATTGTGGTCCACATAGTGCAGTGGCCGTGCTCCTCTGGTTGTGTGTCTGGGCACGTCCTGGCCTGACTGCTGCTGGCCAGTTGGAGTGGATGAGATTGGCAGTGGACCAAGGGCAGCAGTGAAAAGGGGTTTTGATAGCGTTTGGTTTCCTCGTGGGGGTCCTTAACTGCACAGCACATCTCTGGCATCTGCGTCCTCCTCTGGCCCGCTTAATTACACACTGTCACAGGTGAGAGCCGGACCACACTATCTGCTTACAAAACAGACACTTTGTATGAGAAGCCACCACAGTTAAACACTGCATTTACATGTGCAGTTTAATATCATTTTGAGGTTGGACCTAGGCCTGGACAGTGTGACAAAAATGTACTATGACTTTTTACCCTTCTTTTTTTCTATAAAATAAAAAATATAGTTAACTTAATGGATAGTATTAACAAAAAAAAACCAAAAACTAATAATAAAACATAACAGGAATATTGTTTAAAAGTGCACTATGTAACTTTGCGGTTAGGGATCCTTCACCTCCATGTTTCTATGGATTAAACAGATGTAACTTTATTCAATTAAAAGTAGTTTAATTGCTTCAAAATAACTAGAAACATTCTGATTGTGCTTCTCCACAGATCTGACTAGTAACTTGGCCTGAAATAAATACATCTTAGTTTTTATAAATCGTTACTTACAATGTGTTCTTTACTGAGAATTGTTCAGAGCTTAATTTTGGAATGCCAGTGTTAGAATAAAAACATATATCTGCAGTTACCTTTTGTACAGTGACTGAAATAAATAATAATAATAGATACTTCTTGAAATATAAATAGTTAGGATCCACAAGCATAACTATGATAACATCTGCTTATCATATGGATAAATAATTTCTCTTTTTTAAATGTTCCACAATATGACATTAAACAGCTCTAACTTGCATTTTTTCAATTAAAGGTTGTTTTATTGCTCCAAAATACCTAGTAAAACAGGCATTCTGACTGCGCCTCTCCACAGACCTGGCCAGTAACTTGGCCTGGTTAGATCTCCATGATGATAGAGGTTTAATGCCATACTGTGTGAATCACTTCAGACAAAGCAGTAACATCTCCAGGGAGAAAACCAAGTGGTAGGCCCTCCAAAAAAGGTACACAATGCACCTTTAATTTTCTGGATTTTGGACTAAATCAACTTCTAAATCAAATCTCATGGCAACCACACTTCTTTTGTATAATGAAAGAACTTTTTTTTTTTTTTTTTTTTTTTTAAACAAAAGTAGTTTAAAAGAGTCTTCTATTTACATTTACTTGAGTTTGATGTGCAGTGAGAGCCTTTGATAGTGCCTTCCTCTTGTGCTTGTCTTGTGCAGAGTTTTCCCATTGCCCTATCATGGCGAATTCCAGAGCTGCTGCGGCCTTGATGAATTAGCCTGAAACAAATTAGCGGTACTTACAGCTCAGACGGCTCCAGCGTCGAGTTACAAATTAAAACAAAAGCAGCAGCGGTATCTCAACATCAGCGCAAGTTCCCCATGAAATCCAATCCGGTCTGCCTCAATCTCCGCACCAGCACTGTCTCTGTCCTCTCTTCTCACCGTCTTCAAGCCAAACACGCTGGATCCTTGGCACGTGTTTCAAGTCCGTATCAGGCAAATGAATGACAGCTCACATCTTTCACTCAGGGTTTGTTCAAACACTTCAGTCAGTGTCCATCTGAAGTGGAGCTGCCATGATCAGACAGTGAATAGCTTAGATTTTGAGCAGGAATTGATCATACATTGGTGGTGTTAAGTACTTTAGTCTTGTTGATTCCATAGGTAAAGGCTACTACAAGTCACTGGCTGTCAAGTTTGAAGCCATGTGCTGTGGAGATGCTTCCTCCTAGTGGACATTTTGTAGAACTACCCCCTCCGTTAATTCATTCAAGTATTTTTCTAGCACCTACAGTACAAGACTTTCTATTTGTTTAGTATCCTAATGGGATATTTGATGTACATTGGTCTGATATGAGCCAACAAATTACAATATTTGTTAAATGAGAATCATAAAACACATAAAAATTAATGTCACAATTTTTATCCAGTTGATACAATGCAATAAAAGTAACACTTACACTTATTAAGTTAACACTAAACTTAATACAATTCATTGCAATGATCAGATAGTTTATTAAGAATGATTCAAGCTTAGTTGCTGCTTAATACCCTAATTCCTCCTTGCTGACCCTGAATTTTTCTTAATAAACTATTTGCTCATTATGAAATAAGTACATCTTAGTTTTTATAAAGTGTTACCTAAAATATTTTTTTTACTGAGAATTATTCAGAGCTTACTTTTGGAATACCAATTTTAGAATAAAAATATATATCTACAGTTACCCTTTATACAGTGTCTGACTCAAATAAATAATAAGACGTAGTTCTTGAAATATAAATAGTTAGGATCCACAAGCATAACTATGATAACATTTGATTATCGTATGCCATATCTATCCCAGTGGTCAGTGTGTGTTTCTGGATTCTCTTTTAAACTCTGCATCTCATACCTTCACAGATGGAGCCAGGGCTTTGTGCTGTATCCTAGTGGATCTCATTATGGCCGTGGGTGAATAGCGTTCATCAGATCTCCCCTCTCACTCTCTTCATGGACTGCTTTCATCCCTTCTTTCTGCTTTTTTCTCCTTCATTGTTTGGCCCATGCTCCCCTCATTTTCTCATTTCCTCTCTGGGCTCTGATCACCCTCCACTCTCTGCCAGTCTCTTTATACAAGGGCTGACCACTGGACACATTCTGGCCAGCAGTGTTTCCAATTGACAGCAATTAATACATGCTTCTCTGTGATTATCTCCTTGTCCGCGAGCATAGCAATGTAGTTGTTCAATATGACAATGGTCTTGATTTCATTAAAGTTCGATGATGTGGTGCTAGTAGAGTTATGTGTAGAGAAATAGTTTTTATTGTGTTGGCAAGATGCATGAAAATTACATTGTGTATTAGGAGCACTATCCATATCTACAAATGTGTGAAAATATAACACCAGGATGATTATTCACAAGTTTGGATAAAAGCAATTGTTATATTCTGCAGGTAACAATTATATACTGTATTTTAAAACTATGTCTGTGAAAGTATTTGTGATCAAAATCAGTGCTTGTTCAATTACTATTTACATTACATTTATATTACATCAACTTTTTTTGTATTTTTGTGTCTAGAGCCCGACAGTGACCATGGCATGTGAGGATTCTAACTGTTGGATCACCAGACTCCCTTTAACTGCTGATGCCCCATCTGCCAACTGCACTGTCTACAGCCAAGGTAAGACTCACTAACTGGATTTTGTACAATGAAATGTGTGGAAATGTTTAATTGTTTGTTTTGACTCAAAATGTGCATCTGACTTTATGGCTTAATATGTTGTGTGCAGGTAAAGAGTTGTTCTGTAACTTGACCAGGGACCTGGTGGCTGGTGAGAGCCTGGTGGCGTTGTTGTCTGGTCGTCCCACCTCCTCCTCAGACCCCCAGGAGTCTCCTCCCCTAAGCCTGGTCACTCACAAGCAGCAGCCTGTGGTGAAGGAGGAGCCTGTTTACCCTGCTGCCCTTCACTCGGACATCCAGCTCCTCCCTCAGCAGGCTGGCATGGCAGCCATTTTAGCCACCGCTGTTGTTAATAGTGAGTTTGTATTACTTATTTTTTTCTGATGATATAAAGATGTCAGGCAACTACCAAAAAGTGTTGTAATAATCCTTTTGACCACATGAGGGTACTGCAGGTCTCCAAACCCACCAACCCACACAACACGTGCAGACTTTTTTGTGTGATCACTTATATTTTGTCTGCACTTTATTCATAAAACATTCAGCTACTGAATTAAATATAGGACATGGGAAAATGTGTTCAACATGGCTTTAACTTAGTAACTGAGTTGAAAAAGAATAGCATTGTGAGATTGTGAAAGCATGTATTGTTACGTAGTTTCTAATGCTGGTGTTGTGCTCACAGAGGACATCTTTCCCTGTAAAGACTGTGGGATCTGGTACCGCAGTGAGAGGAACCTCCAGGCGCACCTCATGTACTACTGTGCCAGCCGTCAGAAGCAGCCGGCTGCTGCCGTCTCTCCTCCACAGGAAAAACCAAAGGAGCCCTACCCCAACGAACGCATCTGCCCCTTCCCACAGTGTAACAAGAGCTGCCCCAGCGCTAGCTCTCTAGAAATCCATATGCGCACACACAGTGGTGAGAACTCTATTTAACTACTTAGTACTGTTTTATTGTCTTGTAGATTCAGTTAGTTTTGCCTCAAACTGTAATGTAATATGCCTCGTAGTTATTGCATTAGATACATTACATTGTCCGTCCAGTGTCATACAATGCAGCTGTGAGATGCTGATATTTGTTGCAAAATATTAATTTGTATCAATAATAATCTAATCAGACTTCATAATCATATAATCATAATCAATTGTCCGTCGTTGTTATGCATTACTGAAAAATCTTCCCTGTGTCTTTTACAGGTGAACGTCCATTTGTCTGTCTCATCTGTCTGTCGGCCTTCACCACAAAAGCAAACTGTGAGCGCCACCTAAAGGTCCACACTGACACTGTGAACGGAGTGTGTCTGGGCTGTGGCTTTGTCTCCACCACCAGAGACATCCTGTACAGTCACCTGGTCACCAGCCACATGGTGTGCCAGCCAGGGTCCCGCAGTGAGGTCTACTCCCCAGGACCAGGCCTGCCTAAGTTACCTTTATCCATTGGTAAATAATATGACCTGAGTTCATTAGATGTATGTTTTCTGTCATGGTGCTGATAGAAAATGCCTTGTTCTTCCTTTAGGTCTAAGTCCTGGAGACTCGGGGGTAGTGTTGAAGTGCCAGGTGTGTGGACATAACTCCGACTCCCCCTCCCAGCTCCAGCAGCATGTCCGCACCCATCTGGAAGTGCGGGTCCCTACTGAGAGAAGCCCCACGCCACGCCAGAGCACTCCATCTTCAGATCATGCACAACCTCATGTGTCTCCCAAAGAGAGGGAGCCCCTGGCCTGTGTCCCAAAGCCTGACTCATCCAGTCCTGGAGCAAATGGAAGTGCTGCCACAACCCCTGTTTCTGAAGCAGCGGGCAGCCTTCGAATCAAAGAGGAACCACAGTCAGATACAGAGGACCAGCACATGGAGGTGAGAGAAGATGGAGAGGTGTCAGGGGCAGAGCAGATGGAGGAATCCAGGCAAGAAACAAAGCAACGAGATTTATCAAACTCCTCAAGTTCTCCTAAAAGTCCAGCCACCACCGTGAAGGCAGAACCGACCAGCCCGACCCCTGGTTCAAGCCCTGCGCATGTTGGAGGAGCTGCATCAGTTCTTCCAGGGGGAGCCCTGTTTCTGCCCCAGTACATGTTCAACCCAGAGGCAGCCATTTTACCACAGGCCTCAGAGATCCTAGCCAAGATGTCAGAGATGGTCCATAGTCGTATCAAACAAGGCCAGGCACTGCCTCCGAACAGTCCCAATGCATTCTTCCCTACTGGACCTACCGCCCCCACAGCATCTGCAACCCCCCCTCTTAAAGGTGCTACCTGCTTTGAGTGTGACATCACCTTTAACAACATCAATAACTACTATGCACATAAGAGACTGTACTGCTCTGGGCGGCACCAAGCAGAGCCCAGTGCAGCTCCTACTAGTGTGCCTTCTGTAGGAGCAACCACTTCTCCACAAGGGGGCGCCACAAGCAGAGCAGCCTCCGCCTCTCCCACACACTCTGACCCCGCTGCAGGGAGCGGAGCAGAGAGCAGACACAGAGTGGAGGTGAAGCTTGATATTCCAGTGGGAAGGGAGGGTGTCACCTCCTCTCCCGAGGCAGAGGGGGGCAGTGGGGGCGGAGGAGGGGGTAGAGCCAGTGAGGGCAGCCAGAGTCCTGCCAGTGGATCTGCAGAAGATCCAGAGGATGATCCCAACCGGACCTTCTGTGTGGCCTGCAACATTCGCTTCAGTCGCCACGAGAACTACACTGTTCACAAGCGCTTCTACTGTGCATCCCGCCATGACCCCTCCAACCAGCGCTCTGGGCACATGGCCAAGGTCAATGCTTTCATGCCTCAACCTATCCGCACTCGCAAGAGGAAGAAGATGTATGAGATCCACATGGCCCGCACCCAGGCTCTGGCTGCTGCTGCTGCTGCTGCCAATGCTGCCACAGCTGCCTCCTCAGCTGCAGCCTCAGCCCCATCGCCCTCAGTGTTGGGACTCCCCCTGCAGCCTGAGGGCTCTCCCAACGGGACAGAGGCATCCAGTCCAGAGGGGGATGGCCCCATAGACCTGAGCAAAAGACCTCGGCGGACAGAGGTGAGCCGACACAGCAGTAGCCTTCTCCCTGCTCTGCCCCTGTCAGACTATCACAAGTGCACTGCCTGCAGCATCAGCTTCAACAGTATCGAGAACTATTTGGCCCATAAGACCTACTACTGTCCAGCCACTTCTCTGCAGGCCCAGACACTGGAGCAGCTCCACCGGCTCAAAAGATCAGCCTCTACTTCTCCTAAGAGCAGGTCCGTGGAGCGGTCAGAGCTCCTGCACCCTGTTGAGGCTAAGGTTTCCCCCTCAGAAAGACTGAATCAGGCTTGTGTTACATCACCCAGTGCTTACCCCTCTGCCATCTCTCCTGCTGATGCCCCCTCTCGCAGCTCCCCCAAAGGGACCAGGGCCTGTTCCCCAGTGGCCTGCCCATACTGCCCCAACAGGCCGCTCACTGGAGATCTGATGGAGCACTTCCGAAGTGTTCATGGACTGGTGGTGAAAGTCAAGTCCCCCAGAGACACGAGCCCCTGTACCAGTCCCATGGACGAAGCTAGTACCACCCCCTGTGAGCCATCAGGGGGACCGAGGCTCCCACGGCTCCAGAGAGACAGTGTGAATGGACAGGCAGCAGGTGGAATAGGGTCTCCTATGTTAAACGGAGCGCCCTCTGCTGATGGGTCGTGCTCACCTGGATCACCTCAGCCTCTGTCTCCTCCCAGAGCCTCTTCTCTGACTGTGTCCCCGCTCCCAGAGGTGAAGAGGGAGTCCCACACAGCGGATGAAGCCTGCTCCCCTGTGCCTGCTCCTAAAACCCAGGTGATCTCCCCACTTCAGAACGGAAACACACGCTTTTGTCGCTTGTGCAACATCAAGTTCAGCAGCCTGTCCACCTTTATAGCTCATAAGAAGTACTACTGTTCCTCTCACAGTGCGGAACATGTTAAATGAGCAGAGCTCTGAGCTTCTCCAGTACAAACCCTAGTCTGCTCTTGTTTTAGCTGCAGAGTGCCAGCCCCTCACAATTATCTAAAGGACTTTGGCTGACATGTCAAGAGTGACCTTTACTGACTGTTACTCACCTGGACGGGCAGATGTCCAACTGCAGTCAAGCAGGTGGTGTTACTCTAAACAGAAACTGCTGCAGCTCCTCCTATGGGTCAAAGTTAGTAGTAAACGAAGAGCTGATTGATGCTACCTGCACACAGTTCTGCTCCCGTCCCCTAGATCACTGTCTTTATTCTGGTCTCCTAAATCCTTTAGTTACACCAAGCGCTACAGTGCTGCCCAGTCTTATGCAGTATTCAATCCAAAAGAGCCTAAATCACTGAAAGTCCATATGTAGGAAAGAGTGAATTTAAAAAACATGCTTTCTGCATATGCCTTCAGCAGGTGTACCGCTTAGTGAAAACTTGGGCTTTATTGGCCTCTCATAGACCTCACATTCTGTTGCATTATGGGACGTTAAAAGATTGACTCTTCACTTTCTGCTGTTTGCCAGGTAAACACATTTGTGATAATGATTGTGACTGAAAATGGCATTTCTAACTGAGAGAAGTTCTAATGATGCTCTTTGTATTCGAGGACAGAAGGGAGCACTCATTTTGTTGCGTGGATAAGACTTGATTATTGTTGATGATTTTAATATATGTGCATAGTGTATCATGTCCAAGAAAAGAATTCTATTAAGCTTTTGGTTTCAACACTGGCTCTTTTTGCTAACTAGAAAAGTGTTTTAGCTCAAAACAACCCGTGAATATCACAATGTTACCAATTACTGAAGGATAATGCTTTTCTTTCATTTCTACACAATTCTCTTTCAAAACTAGGGAGAAAAATGTGAACTATTTATCTAGTCCTCACTGATTTCATGTCAACAGAAACTACCTACCGAGTGTCTAAGAGTATTTGTATTTGATTTGTATATTTTTCATACTGTTGAAGGAACTGTTGTAGTGTATTTTATAAGTGTAGATATGTAATATCTTCTCACGGTAATCACTGGGATCACACTGAACTTGAGCACATTTTGTCCATTTTATCCTCTTTTTTAATCCGATCTGCAGCCTCCCACACCTCTCTCACAGAGGACCTTGAGCTCCTCCGATTTTGTTGCTTTGACATCAGCGTATAACCTCCGTGTGCTGCAAACTTTTCTAATGTGACATTTGCAAGAATCCAGGAAAAAACAGACAAAACAATACAAAAAAAAAACATTTATTTTATTGGTTGAGAAGATGATACAATTAAAGTTAAAGACTGAGAGCATTTTCAAAATTTTTAACAAAAAGCACAGTATTGTCTGTTACATAACCACAAATTACACATTTTACTTGCCCATTATATTGCAAAGGTTATTATCCATTAGCGAGTCATCTTTCTTTCTTTTGACTTTTTCCTTGTGTGGTGCAGAAAATCACAGTAATTTGGATTGGTTTAAACACCAGGTGGCTTTCTTTATGCAACCCTCAGCTTGGGACCAGCTCAGTCAGTCAACTTGTTGTTAGTGACTTTATAAATTGATTTGTTGTAATATATTTTCATAATGGGTACATCACTGAAATATCACACATTTTAGCATCAGCTGGGAGATCCTGTCACTGGCCTTGAGTGTACAAAACTCTAGGCAGACTGTCTGACCATCTGCATTGGCTTCACTTCTCTATACAATACGAAGCATTTGAATAAGACTGTTTATTTCTTGTCACGCCGTGTATCACTGGACAAATGTCGTCTGGCCCTTTGTTGTCAGATGGTTTAGTGGTGAAGCTGCAGCACACATACACAGCAGTCATGTGTTGAATCTTACCATGTCCACTGTAACCAAAATATTTTTATCCTCATGCAAGATTCTTGTAAATGTTGCACTGAAAATAAATTTTTAGTGGTTTTTCAGAGAGGGTTGTCCAGCTGTGTAGCCTTACAATAATCAGCTTTCACCATGAGCTTTGCACCTGAGTTCTCTCTCTCCTCTAACACCCACTACTACCTTTTATCACACAAAGAAAACATTTTTGTTGCTCATAATTATTCGACAAATCTTTGAAAAGCTCTGTGACGTCTTTTTGTATTTTTCACAAGTTTCTAATTTCCTGTTTCACTCTGCACAATAATGCTCTGTGCAGGTACACACTCTTGGAGGTGATTACAGCACACATTGCAGCTCTGATTGATTCCACAAGCAATCTCCTTTTTACCACCTAAACTTCATTTGGCACTCTTTATGGTGGAGAGTCTGGCTGTAAAAGTTTTGGATTTAAAAGCACCTTCTTGCAGTTTTGATATATTCTGGTCACTATGGTGAGAATTCAGCCTCTTAACAGAAGTATGAAGAAACACAAATTAATTCAATTTTGAAAAACTTCATGTGCGTACTGGATTGCTAGTTTTCAAAAATATATAAAGTTGATGGCGGTGAACTTCAAATGAATGGCATTTTTAAGTTGTAGAAATATGGATAATGATGTCATATCTTTGTTAGTGCTGAGTCTTAGGAGGAGGAGGTCAAGTGGAAAAAATGCAAACACAGTTTACTAAAAGTTCAAAGCTATTCACACTGATGGAGGATAAGCAACACATTGAAGGACCCAGTGCTGTAAACTTTCTTTAATTGCACTCTTATGTTAAATTGTTTTTATTATATATTTATGTTCTACAGCACTTTGCCCCTGATTCAAATCTCACTATTGATTTATGTTGAAGGACTCTCTAAACAGCTCTGACCCTTGTGTAATGGTTTCAAATTCAGTGTTTTTCTTAATAATTCCTGTTGACCTAAGAAATCAACTGTCAAAACTTTAATTTGTTTATTCTTTTGTAATAACAGTTCTGTTTCACTACACTCTTGTCCAAACTATGCATGGCAAATAAAAGAGAGAGACACTGATTCACTGGTGTGTGTTTTATTCAAAGATTTTTGGAGATTCTTAAGGCAATGCTACTTTGAGTATTTCCAACAGCAGTCACTCACTCAGAAACACTGTTATTAATTGTGACTGGGCCTAAATGAGCACAAAACCAATGATGTAACCAGAAATGCAGCAACAATACACAAAATTTATAGTAAACCAATATTGATCCTTTGCAGCTGATGTCATCCACATTCCCTGGCGGTGTGATGCTAACTGAGAACACATTTGTTAGAAGCTCTGTTACTCGTGTTAGAATTAATTTGAGCTTTATTTTAACACAATCTGTTCAAAATAACTAACTTAGCTGGAATTAAAACAGGTGAGATTATTTGTGCTGTTAAACAAGCTTGTCACACGTAAAATTAGTCACAAGATACCTAGCATTATCCAACAGTTTTTTTCAGCAGTCACCTTTTGTGTTGAAAATCAAACACCTCTGAACATGAACAGGACCATGAACATGAACATGATGTTTTCAGGCTTATCTTAAAACTTTTTTGTCAGTGCTGTTTCACCATGATCACTGAATCATGATCATGTAAAACACCCTCAACATGATGTCACTGCAAAGTGTCATTGTCATAACCTAACCCAAATTATTCTGAAACAACCAGAACTTAAAGGTGCATTATTCATGTTCTTGGTTCCTCCTGCTTATCTCTATGGAGATGTTATAGTTTTGCCTGGAATGTCCCACATTTAACTTATCTATGCAGAATTTATTAGTGTTTTATTGCTCAAAACTCAATTTAATGAACATGGAAAAGTTTAATGTGCCATGTAACATTTCAGGTAAAGCTATAAGACTCTGATGGAGAGCATGTTTCAGATTCTTGAACAGAAAAGTTACACGTTCAAAACAATTAAACAGCCTGAAAATGATAGTTAGATTGAGAACACTAGATGCACTGCTATAGCACCAGTCACACCTTTAGCACAGTTTTAGATGCATTTACTGAAGCATTCCTGTGATTACACAGGTTTATGATGCTGACTTGAAGCAAGACCTTGAGTGAGTCATCAGCCATTTCCAATAAAGTTCTAATATGTGAGACGTAAAAGGCTTTCTGTGCACATTCAGAGCTCCAAGGCTGCTCTAATCAAAGCCAAAGTGCTTCCTCCACACAGCTACAAGCACTCACCAATACTGCACGCTTTAACTCTTATTCACAAGCCATTTAAATTAACCTTGATTTTTCAAAATGCAATGAATTTGTGGCTCCAGGGGCTATAGTTGACGTCTCACACCCTCCTTCCATACTGTGTGCTAGCAGCATCTTTGAGACAGACCTATGCAGTTAACTGAAGTCATCAGGGACCTGTGTCATCACGAGTGTCGATAAAGAAGTGTATGTCTAGAGAGTCTGATAATGATATGAGAAATCTGTCTACACTAGCAAATGAAATAAGGGCTTTATTTGGTCTTAGCTGGACTTTCTCTTTGTGACCTATCCTACTGATACTTTGCCTCTTATGTCATCTATATAGGAATGTGGTGCTAATTGTAGGCAATTGTGTTTGTCTGAGGCTTTCTTGGACTTGAATTTTGCCAATCTGACCAGAAAGAACTGATTTATTTGGAACTACAACAAGTGAGCTAATTTTTACTGTTATTTCCTCTATCATAATAATTTAGCTAACTGTTTTTCATTTAGTCTCTCACTTTTCTGCTGAAAATCAAACAGGTTTGTATTGATTACAGGCTCCTGGAAATGTGTTTTTTAAATCCATTTTATTCAGTTTTTCTATTGTGTCAGCATGATAACACTGAACATTCCACTATACACATACATGTAGAACACCCCCAAATGCAAAGTTACTGCAAAGTATCATACAGCACATCCTGTCAGTGTCTTTTGTTCCATTCTTTGTTTTGTTCCAAGTTACAAAAGTAAGTGGGCCTATACATAGGGCATGATGGCAGACCAGCTGGAGTGTTGCTTATTTCAGGGAAAAGACCTCCTCCAGAGTCCAGCACACAAGAGTATGTTTTGTCTGTATCACGATGTCGTCTGTGTTTAGTCTACAGCTACTGGGGGAAAGTCCAGTGGGTGTGAGGCAGTTAAACACATATTCCATCTGGAATCAATTTTTTATCTTTTTTAAATCAATCAATCTGCAATGTTAATTCTACAGTATTTTTGGTGCAATTCCACTCTACTACCAATTTGAAAAGAAGAATTATAATATGTTGTACTGGATTATTTTAAATGCACATGAACATGTTATAGTCAAAGCCCCCGAACTGAACAGAGACTGGTGGTTGATCTCCATCTGCTGTAAAATGACCTGTAGTCATTTAGGAGTCCAAGTGTCAAACATACGAAGCTTTCAAACTAAATATTGTGACTACATGTCTTAAATGCTCTATAAAACTAATAGTTTTTGCTTTGTTTATTATATACATGTGCACAAATGTACTGTACACACAAACCATGTTAGGACATGATACGAAGGGCTTTAGATGCGGTATTAGCATGTACGAGCTGGTTTAGCATGGCACCAGAGGGTCCTCACAGTGCGACAAACAAAGGTTTGACCTTATACTCAGATGAATCCCCACCACTTTGCCATGTTTTAGCACTTATAAACTCACCTCTGCGATCCTTACTTCTGCACAGATTTGACTTTCCAAACTACATTAAAAACATGCATTCTTGCTGTGAGTGTGGTCACCTCTCCACAGATGGGACCTGTAACTTGGTTTTTACCTCCTTGTTTCCTTGGAGATAGATAAGGTCAATGCCATACTGTGCAAAGTTCTAAGCAAAGAAGCTAGCCCTGACCCTCCACCAGAAAAGTTTAATTTGAGAAGAGTATGTATTTTATCTGGGACTGTGTGATGCTGTTTGTAATCATGCTTAGAAAAGTGCTGCATAAATAAAGGCATCATACTTATTGGATGGAGCATCTGCCAGTGTCTCCAGAGTAGATCAGGTCCATGCCCTGCTACTTACACTGCTGACACACAGTCATCATGGAGACCAGGGAGTCCACTCTGTCCAGGCCCCTCCACACAGCACTGCTCCTCTGGGCACATTCGCATCAGTGGCACCGGAAGCAGCACTATCATGGTTCATGGCTAAGAGGTAGGCTGTGCATAGTCATGCATTTGTTCACTGACATTGGCAATACAATGTTTTTCTGATTCTGACTTCTTCTTCTGTGGCTGGTGGTGTCGTTCACAAACTAAAACACAAATGTCTGCTATGGGACCGCGGCTGTGAACGCTAAGACACTAAACAAAAATAATGAAACCAGTCTTCAATATTTACTCTAATAAACAATAGCATTCATACGGGGCATTTTAAAATCACCTTTAACAGCAATTGTTTTTAAAGGTGCACAATGCAACCATGTCTTTTGAAGGGTAAGTCACTGATTTGTCTTCATGGAGACATGTAGTATTGCACGAAACCAAACGATCTCTATAGAAACAAACTATTAATGCTCCCAGGCCAAGTTACATGTCAGATCTATGGAGTGACGTGTCTCTTCACATTCATAATGTCTTGCATGCACTTAAAACAGCCATAACTCATATGTAACACAGATCAATGTAATGATATACAGTACTGTATAACTTTCCAGTTAAAGGAATAACATCTCCATGCAGACAAGCAGGCAGCAGACTCCCACCAGAAAAGTTACATAATGCCCCCTTAAGTGAATTGCAATAAAACATACAATGTACATATGCTTAAAAAAATATTTTAAAAAGTGACATAAGAATTCCTAATCAAACTTCTGTTTATTGCCTAATTTCCATACATTCTTTCAGGGTGGTTTTCTGATTAGCTGCATCCTTTGGAGAAGCGGTTCCTCTCGTCAGTTTCTTCAGATCCAAGGACCACAGAGCTCAACTGGCCCCTCCAAACCAGTCAGCATGGGAACACAAACAGAAACAGTGTTAAGTGCACATTCAAAAGAAGGAACTATGGAATTATTATTTTTTACCTCATATTTGTTTATTATTATTAGAGTCAATTGCTTTTATTAAGTTAAGATGACTTAGAAGCAGGGACTCTTCCACCGCCTAAAGAGTGAGTAAACACACTCCCATCTCTGTATTTAAGACTTAACAGTACAAATCTTTACAGTTTACAGTTTTTTACAGTTACTTAATTTAAAACTAAAAAAAATAAATAAAAAAAAAACACTCACAATGTACATACATTCTCAAACAAAACAACAAAAAGAGGAGAAGCAGGGAATGTCCCACCGACATTGAGTTAGTGAACAAACCCAGATCTCCAGATATAATCATTCAGAAAAACAAAAATCACTCTTTTTGAACAGTCTTAACATAGACTGTTTACAAAGGCTTAGAATTAACTTCACTATGTCTTTTAGGACATAGTGACTATAAAAAAGTCATCGCAATGAGCCGAGCCCTGAGTCTCAGAGGCTGAGTTCAGTCCTCCTCTGACTCAGAGTCCTGGAGCAGATGGAGGTAGTGTCACCTGAAGCCCCCAGATGTCTCCCAGGTGGAGAGGCCTGGGTCAGACGGCCAATGCTTATAACTCCCATATGCCTAATCTAACCTATTTGTTAAAGGCCTGCCATTTAAAGTGTCACAGTAAGTCTACTAAAGAAGCTTAATGTGTGTGGTGAGAAACTTAGAGGATTAACTCATTTATAAATCATTTTGAGCATATGCAACACAAGAAATGTTTAATTAGCAATAGTTTGTAAATTCAGAAATGTAGAATTTACTGATTCTTAAGAGAAATCAATTAGATATACTACTGCTACTACTACTACTAATAATAATAATAATAGTAATAATAATAATAATAATAATAATAATCATCCTCATCATCCTCATCATCCTCATCATCATCATCATAATCATCATAATCATCATCATTATAATCATAATAATGTGTAAAATATTTTTATAAATGTTTCAGAATAGGCCTAATTAAAGTATCCTCTTAATTGATTTCATCAAACCACAACTCTGCCAACACCA